TTAATAATCTAGCGATAATACCACTAGGCCAGTGCCTCCCCATATGCTTCTTCTTTTTTCTTATCCAAAATTCACAATATCCGTGCCATCTAGGGCTCCTTGGATTTGTAGCTTCATTTCTTCAACAGCCTTTAAAGGAGGTCTTCCTGTGACACTTCAATAGCTTTCTGTTTATGGCTTTTTTCATCAACCGTGAGCACTTTGTCTGTTCATAACAGCACATCTGCTGTTAGGGACATTTTCTCTGAAACAGCCTACTTCAAAAGGGCCTCCTTCTCTTTTTCTCTCTGCATTCAAGTCAGCAAACATCTTACCCAAGGTCTTAAGTTGCTTGCTGCTCAGTTGTCTAAAGTGATGCCTTCATTGAAATGATTTTACAAACTCGTTGTTCAAAATGACTTCTGACCTTGCTAAAAACAAGCCAGGCCTTCACAGAATTGAAAACAAAAATCCATTTTTAAAATTCACTTTATAATCCAAGTTTGCAAGTTGCATTACGAACCTCATAACAATGATGGGAAGCAGTAACACAACACTAAAAATCAACTTCAGCATCTGTCCAGAATGAGGAGGTGTATAAGGGGTACAGCTACAGATCCTGTTTTGTACCAAAATGATGGCTACTACTGGAAAGTCCCCTACTGGCACTGATGGGGATCTGGAGGTTTTGCAAAGCACCAACTTTTATCAGCAGAACCAGGTCAATTAACCAGAATAACCACATGTACAGAATCCACCGCCAAGATGGATGAAATTTTAACATTCCACGTGGCTGCTTTTCTGTTTTTGTTGTTTCCAGATTTAACACTCAGGAAGTCCCAACAATGACCATTCGTGGTGAATACAAAAAAAAAGTCAGATATCTTTGTGATGGAAGAAAAATGGATCAACAAAATTGCTGGTGGGGTAGAGAGAAACACCAATAAATGACTAGAATTTGGAATCTCTGGTTATTTTTAGCTTCAACAGACCATGACACTGGAGGAAATTGACTGTGAAGAGCATCAAAGTTTAACAATTTAAGGAGATCTTTCTAGGAAACTTAAGGATGAGCAATAAATGCTAGCCTAGCCAGCAAAGCCCACATCCGCTGAATGAAGGAACAGAAAGCTTGATTTTTATGTACCTGCTTGGGGGCAGTCAGCTTCTCAGAAACTTGGAACTAAATATTCTCAACTGAAATGTGGTTGGGAAGATCCTCCAGGATGGACACAGAGAGAAATACCACATTACTCCAGAGGCTCGTTCTTACCACCAGTCCCTGTAGAACTCCCGATCTCCAAATTTCATCAGTTCAGCTAAAACATTCATAGATGAGTGGAAAAACCAGTAGAAAAAGATGAGCCAGATCAGGTGGTTGGGAACCTGAAAGAAGACAAAGAATAGAGAATATGGTCCAAAGGCTTTTGCTACATTTTTATTCTCTTCAAGGCTATAGAGACACACCTGGGTGAAGACATGAAAAGCAACCAGTTATCATCAACTTTAATTCAGGGTCAGTTGTTACAATCCTAGTTATCAGATTGTCATGATCTGGCTTGATAGACCATAATCTTTTAAAGATTGGAATGCATAGAAGAATCAAGGGTAAGAAAAGGATCTCGGTTTGAATTGAAATGCAAAGAAATTTATTACCACAAACTTGAACAATACAAATAAGCAACAATTGACTAACTAGGTATACTGAACAATGGTTAACGATTCTAGGAACATAGGAGCTTAGGAACAAGAATCAGCCATTCAGCACCTCAAGCTTGTTCCATTATTCAATGAGATTATGGTTGGTTTGTGGCCTAAAGCCAAATGCCTACTTTTGGCTCATATCCCTTAATACTCTGCTTAATAAATAAATTCTCAGATTTAAAACTAACAACTGATCCAGCATTCAACTGCAGTTTACAGAAGGGAGTTCCAAATATCTTGCACCATTTTTGTGTAGAAATGCTTCCTAACATCTCTCCTGAATGGTCTGGCCCTAATTCTCAGACTAGGTCCCCTAGTTCTAGAATCCCCAACCAGGGGAAATTGTTTACATACCCTGTCTTTTCCTGCTAATATCTTGAAAACTTGATCAGATCAAATCACCCTTTAACCTTCTAAATGCAAGAAAAAACCGGCCTAATTTGTATAATCTCTCATAACTTAACCTTTGAAGTGCAGGTAACATTCCTGTAAACCTGTGTTGTATTCCCTCCAAGGCCAACATATCCCTCCTAGGGTGTGGTATCCAAATCTGCACAGTGCTCCAAATGGGGCCGAGCCAGGGTTTTGCATAACTGCTGCATTCTTGTACTCCAGTCCTCTAGGTCAGCTTTTCTGATTATTTTCTGCACCTTTGGTGACATTTTAAAGACCAGTGCACCTGAACTCTCAAGTCTCTGTGAACATCACTAGATTTAACTTCATACCATCTGGAAAATACCCTGATCTCCCCTTTTTCGGTCCAAAATGGTTAACCTCACATTTGCTTACATTGCACTTCATCTCCCACAGTTTTGCCCATTCACTTAAATGGCACACACATATAAATTAGACTTTAACCGTCAGGACTAACACGTAGTAAATATGAGTTAACAGGCAAACTGTGGTCAAATATTTTGCAGATTGTATGTTAAGTAGCCAATGCTGTCAAGGCAGATCTCACCTAGATGACATCATACTGCGGGTCACCAAATCTCATTAAAACTCATCTCCTTTTCAGGGGTTTCATTTCGTGACTTCTGAAGAGCTAGGCTTAGATCACTAAAGGCATCTCCAATCCAGACTGCCTCAATGAACGACCAAGGCATGTGCAGTCAATCTCTTAGAGTCTGGGTTTCCCAGGACATCTGAGACTGTTCCCCAGCATTTAATTGCTGGCACAAATCTAGCTTTTATCAAACAACTAGCTTCATCGAGCTGCTGCCGAATTTCTCCAAGCTCTGATTTTTCTCAGCTGCACCAAACACATACTAAGCCTGGCCTTCCTTTACCCCATTCACAGTTATATAACTGCCAATATTCCACTAGCTGCCTTTAATTTTGTCTGTACCTGTGCGTGACATTTAAGTGATCAAATATCTAAATTCCCAAGTCTCACTGGACTACCATTTTTAAACGTTTTACCATTTAGAGATTATGCAATTCTATCCTTGTTACGTGCAAAATAAATTACTTCCCATTTAGCAACACAGAAAGCTAACACACAGGTGAGGCAAGTAGTCAGGAAGACTAAAGAAATATTGATTTTTATTTTAAAGTGGTTTGAATACAAGGGGAGGGATGCCTTATTTCTGTACAAGGTGCTGGGGAGACCACATTTGAACTACTGAGGGCAGTTTTGGTCCCCTTATTTAAGGAAAGATCTCATTTCATTGGAGCACGTTCAGAGAAGGTTCACTGAGATGATCCCCAGTATGGAGGGATTGTCCTATCAGCAAAATGATGTTGTCCAGCTGCATATCTGTTAAATAATTCCGAATATTGGGAATGTTGAAGATAGGTGAACAGAGCTAGCCATATTTTCCAAATGATGAAAATTACTTACCGCAAGCTTCAGTAAGCGCTCTATCATCCTGGAACAGTCCATATCCTGAAATGAATAATCACCAGAAAACATCATACACACAAACTGGAAATATTACATTTTGACATCAATCAGAAAATATGACCGGATGTTTTCAAAGGTGATCATTGTAAGAGGGAAAGAATACAGGACTTGCTAAACAGAGGTCTACATTCAGAAGCCATGATAAAAATTCAAGAGAGACTGAGCAAAGATTGGGAAAAGGTCATAACTTTTAATTAAATCCAATTTCATGATAAACTCATTGAGAAGCTTCAGACAAAAGATGAAGAAATCCTCTCAATATACATTCTGTATCCTCACTCATTTCGGGCCATCAAGAAAACAAATAAAAAGATTCGAGGTAGAATCTTCTCTAGCCTCTGAGGCACAAGATATAGAACAACAGGGTTTGATTAGGAGTAGTCAGCATGGCTTCGTGCATGGTGAGATCATGCTGCACAAATTTGTTAGAGTTCTTCAGCGAAGTGACCATGAAGCTTGATGAGGGCAGGGCGGTAGATGTAGTCTATATGGATTTCAGGAAGGCCTTTGATAAGGTTCCACATAGTAGGCTGCTCTGGGAGGTTAGATTGCATGGAATCGAGAGAGAGCTGGCAAACCGGATACACAATTAGCTTGATGGTAGGAAGCAGAGAGTAATAGTGGAAGGATGCTTGTCAGACTGGAGGCCTAAGACTAGTGATGTACCTCAGGGGCTGGTGCTGGGCCCATTGCTGTTTGTTATTGATATCAATGATTTGGATGAGAATGTACATGGCATCATTAGTAAGTTTGCAGATGACACTAAAATAGGTGGCATCGTAGACAGTGAGGTAGGTTATCAGAAATTGCAGCAGGATCTTGATCAACTGGGGAATTGGGCTGAGAAATGGCAAATGGAGTTTAATATAGATAAATGTGAGGTGTTGCATTTTGGAAAGTCAAATCCAGGTAGGAGTTTCATGGTGAATGGTAGGGTCTTAAGGAGTGTGGTGGAACAGAGGGACCTTAGAGTTCAGGTGCACAGTTCTCTGAAAGTGGAGTCACAGGTAGACAGCGTAGTGAAGGCTGCTTTTGGTACACTGGCCTTCAGTCAGGGCACCGAGTATAGGAGTTGGGAAATTATGTTGCAGTTGTACAGGATGTTGGTGAGGCCGCACTTGGAGTATCGTGTTCCGTTTTGGTCACCTTGCTATAGGAAGGATGTTATTAAACTGGAAAGAGTGCAGAAGAAATTTACAACGATTTTGCCAGGACTCAAGGGACTCAGTTATAGGGAGAGGTTGGACAAGCTATGAATTTTTTCTTTAGAGCGTAGGAGACTGAGGGGAGATCTCATAGAAGTGTATAAGATCATGAGAGGCATGGAGAGGGTGAACGCGCTCAGTCTTTTTCCTAGGATTGGGAAATTGAGGACGAGAGGTCATCAGTTAAAGATAAGGGGGAAAGAATACACTGGAACATGACGGGCAATCTTTTTTAAAACACATTGGGAGGTATCCATAAGGAACGGGCTGCCAGTGGAAGTGGTTGAAGCGGGTACATTAACAACATTTAAAAAGGCATTTGGATGAATTCATGGATAGGAAAGGTTTAGAAGGATATGAAGCACGTGCAGGGAATTAGCGTGGACGGACATTTTGGTCGGCATGGACCAGGTTGGGCCAAAGGGCTTATCTCCGTGCTGTAGGACTCTACGTAACGTGGAAGGAACTTTTATTCTATCTAACCCCGTGCTGTACCTGCCCTGGGAATGCTTGATAGGGACAGCTTTACTCTGTATCTAACCTGGTGCTGTCCCTGTCCATGGTAGGGAAGAGCTTTATTTTGTATCTAACTCCTTTCTGCCCTGTGAGCATTTGACATTATTGCACTCTGGCAACAGCTTTATTCTATCTAGGAGATTCGATGCTGAGGGAAGTCATCGACTTAGTGATAACGTAAGTGGACTAATAATCTGAGGCCCAAGCCAATGATGTTGGGACATGGGTTCACATCCCACCATGGAAGTTGGTGAGATTTAAATTCAATGAATAAATCTGGAATTGAAAATTAGTCTTAGTAATGATGTTAATGAGGTTTAGGAGAAGAAAACTGGTCATCCTTTCCTTGTCTGGATCACACATGACTCCAGATCCCCAGCCTCTGTCCTTTGAAATGGGACAGCAAGGCACTTAGTTCAAGGACCAAGGAGATGGCTAAGAAATGCTGGGGAAGGTGGGAAATGACCTTTTAGGGGTTAGCAGCAGCCGCAGTCAGGGCAATGGCACTGTGACCAGCTCTGAGGCTCCGAGGGAAAGGGTACAATCTGACAGAGTGATAATGACAGGAGACTCAGTTGTGAGGGGGACAGACAGGAGATTCTGTGCCCACAGAAGAGACACCAGGATGGTGTATTGTCGCTCAGGTGCCAGGGTCAAGGACGTCTGAGTGGTTGCAGAACATTCTGAAGGGGGGAGGGTGAACAGCCAGAGGTCATTGTGCACATTGGTACAAACGACACAGGTAGACAAAGGGATGGGGTCCTGTGAAATGAGTATAGAGGGGTAAGAAGTTAAAAAGTGGGACCTCAACGGTAGTGATCTCTGGATTACTCAGTGCCGTGCACCAGTGAGGGGACAGAAATAGGAAGATGAATGAGTGGCTGAGAAGCTGGTGTAGGAGGCAGGGTTTTCAGTTCTTGGATCATTGGGAACACTTCAGGGGTGGAAGTGACCTGTACAAAAGAGATGGGTTGCACTTGAACCAGAGGGGTCCAATATCCTCACGGGGAGATTTGCTAATGTTACCTAGGAGGGTTTAAATTAGTTTGACAGGGATGTGGAGGACTCTGAATAAGATAGGGGCCATCAAAAAGTCAAGGGAAAATACATTAGCCATTGAGAGCAAGTTTACTGTTCAGGATAGCCAGGGGCACAGTAAAGGAAGGGAAAGACTCTGATTTAAAGTGCATTTATTTCAATGCACAAGGCCTGACTGGTATGGCAGATGAGCTCAGAGCATGGATTGGCTCTGGGGATTGGAATATTATAGACATAACAGAAACGTGGCTGAGAGAAGGGCAGGACTGGCAGCTCAATGTTCCAGGATATAGAAGCACAAGCAAGCGAGGAGCAGGAGTTCCCTTTTGATAGGCATAACAACAGTGCTTAGAGAGGATATTCTTAAGGGGTCATCAAATGAGGCCATATGGTTAGAACTGAGAAACAAGGGAATGATCACTCTGTTGGGACTACATTATAGACCCCCCGAATAGCCATCGGGTACTAGACTAGATGTGCAGATAGATACACGTAGGAATACCAGTAGAATTGGATGGAGATTTTAATGTCCTCTGTATTGACTCGGCAACCCAGAGTGCAAGAGGCCCAGACAGGGTGGAGTTTGTCAAATGTGTCCAAGAAAGTTGCCTAAATCAATATGTAGAGGGCCCTACTCGGGAAGTTGCAACACTGGACCTCTTCTTAGGAAATGAGGTCAGGCAAGTGACTCAAGTGTTATCTGGAGAGCACTTTGGGTCCAGTAACCATAACATGCTTAGTTTTAGCATTGTTATGGAAAAAGATAGGATCCGGTCCATGGGTTAAGATGCTGAACTGGAGCAGGACCAACTGTGGCACCATTAGGCAGGATCGAGCAGAGGTCAATTGGGTGAGTCCGTTTGAAGGAAAAAGAATGACTGGCAAGTGGGAGGCTTTTAAAAGTGTGAAACCAAGAGTCCAGGGACAGTATGTCCCTGTCAGTGTGAAGGGAAAAGCTGCAGGTTTAGGGACCCCTGGCTAATGAGGGATATTGAGGGTCTGGTCAGGAAACAGATGGCAGCACACACTGGGTTTAAGCTATTGGGCTCAAGTGAATCCCTAGATGACTATAAAAAGTGTGGGAGCATACTTAAGAGGAAAAGCAGAAGAGCAAAGAGAGGGTACAAGATGGATCTGGCAGATAAGGTTAAAGATAATCCGAACAAGTTCTATAGGTATGTTGTCAAATGTGTCCAAGAAAGTTTCCTAAATTAACATGTAGGGGGCCCTGCTCAGGAGGTTGCAACACTGGACCTCCTCAAAAGGAAACAAGGTCCGGTTACTTAACAGCCTGGTATGGCAACTGCTCAGCCCAGGACTGTAAGAAACTACAGAAGGTGGTGTACAGCCCAGACCATCAGAGAAGCCAAACTTCAAAATCGATGGACTCTATTTAGATGGCTCACTGCCGCAGAAGGGCTGCCAACAAAGACCCATCACATCCCAGTAATGCTCTCCTACAATCTCTTCTGTCAGGCAGAAGATACAGAAGCCTGAACACACGCACAAGCAGGTTCAGGAACAGGTTCTTCCCAGCCATTATCAGACTGATGAATGGACTCTCTAGCCTCAAATAGTGCCGATCATGCTAGTGTTGATCTTGCTCAGTTCACACCCTGTGCAATTTCTATTCATTTGTGGGATGTAGGCATCGCTGGCTGGCCAGCATTTATTGCCCGTCCCTAGTTGCCCTTCAGAAGGTGGTGGTGAGCTTTCTTCTTGAACCGCTGCAATCCATCTGCTGTAGGTTGTTCCACAATGCCATGAGGGAGGGAATTCCAGGATTTTGACGCATCAACGGTGAAGGAACGGCAATGTATTTCCAAGTCAGGACGGGGAGTAGCTTGGAGGGGAACTTGGAGTGGGTGGTGTTCCCATGTATCTGCTGCCCTTGTCCTTCTAGATGGAAGTGGTCGTGGGTTTGGAAGGTGCTGTCTGAGGATCTTTGGTGAATTTCTGCAGTGCATCTTGTAAATAGTACACACTGCTGCTACTGAGCAGCGGTGATGGAGGGAGTGGATGCTTGTGGATGTGGTGCCAATCCAGTGAGCTGCTTTGTCCTGGATGGTGTCAAGCTTCTTGAGTGTTGCTGGGGCTGCACCCATCCAGGCAAGTGGGGAGTATCCCATCACACTCCTGACTTGTGCCTTGTAGATGGTGGGACAGGCTTTGAAGAGTCAGAAGGTGAGCTACCCGCCGCAGTATTCCTAGCTTCTGGCCTACTCTTGTTGCCACTGTGTTTATGTGGTGAGTCCAGTTGAGTCTCTGATCAACGATAATACCCAGGATGTTGATAGTGGGGGATTCAGTGATGGTAACACCATTGAATGTCAAGGGGCAGTGGTTAGATTGTCTCTTATTGGTGATGGTCATAGCCTGGCATTTCTGTGGCGTGAATGTCACTTGCCACTTGTCAGCCCAAGCCAGGATATTGTCCAGATCTTGTTGCATTTGACCATGGACTGCTTCAGTATCTGAGGAGTCACGAATGATGTTGAATATTGTGCAATCATCAGCGATCATCCCCACTTCTGACCTTATGATGGAGGGAAGGTCATTGATGAAGCAGCTCAAGATGGTTGGGCCTAGAACACTACCGAGGAACTCCTGCAGAGATGTCCTGGAGCTGAGATGATTGACCTCCATCAACCACAACCATCTTCCTATGCGTCAGGTAATGACACCAACCACTGGAGAGTTTGTCCCCGATACCCACTGATTCCAGTTTTGCTAGGACTCCTTGATGCCACACTCATCGATATCAAGGGCTGTCACTCTCACCTCACCTCTGGAATTCAGCTCTTTTGTCCATGTTTGAACCAAGGCTGTAATGAGGTCAGGAGCTGAGTGGCCCTGGCAGAACCCAAACTGGGCGTCACTGAGCAGGTTATTGCTGAGCAGGTGCTGCTTGATAGCACTGTTACTGACACCTTCCATCACTTTACTGATGATTGAGAGGAGACTGATGGGGCGGTAATTGGTCGGGTTGGATTTGTCCTGCTTTGTGTGTGCAGGACATACTGGGTGTCACTGAACAGATTATTTCTGAGCCATGTAACCTGTAGGCCTTTGTCGAAGTTGTTTTTGATCTGTACTTACTATGATCTGCCTGTACTGCTCATAAACAATGCTTTCCACTGTATTTTAGTACACGTGACAATAAACCAATTAAGAGTGAGAGGGTGGCTAGGGAGAGACTAGGTCCCCTTGAAAATCAGCATGGCCGTCTACATGTGGAGCCACAGGAGATGGGGGAGATTTTTAATGAATATTTCTCTTTAGTGTTTACTAAGGAAAGAATCATGGATACTAAGGAAATAAGGGAAACAAGTGGGGATGTTTTGGACTGCATACACATTAACAGAGAGGAGGTGTTTGCAGCCTTAAAGCTCATTCAGGTGGATAAATCCCCTGGGCCTGATCAAGTCCGCCCTTGGATGTTGTGGGAGGCTAGGGAAGAAACTGCAGAGGCCCTTGCAGAGATTTTTGCTTCATCTTTAGCCACTGGTGAAGTTCCAGAAGACTGCAGGGTGGCTAATGTTGTTCTATTGTTTAAGAAAGGTAGCAAAGACAAGCCAGGGAACTACAGGCCAGTGAGCCTGACATCATGGTAGGCAAGTTATTGGAGAGGATGCTGAGGGATAGGATCATCCAACATTTGGATAGTCAAGGTCTGATTAGGGATAGTGTGCGGCAAGTCATGTCAGACAAATCTACAGTTTTTTGAAGAGGTAACCAAGAGGATGGATGAGGGTAGGGCAGTGGATGTTGTCTATATGGACTTTAATAAGGCCTTTGACAAGGTCCCACATGGCAGGGTAGTCATCTAGGTTAGGTTGCATGGGATCCACGGAGAGCCAGTTAATTGGATTCAAAATTGCTCAATGGAAGGAAGCAGAGGGCGATGGTTGAAGGTTGTTTCTCGGACTGGAGGCCTGTGACTAGTGGTGTGCCACGGGGTCGGTGCTGGGACCATTGTTATTTGTTATTTACATAAATGATCTGGATGTGAATGTACAAGGCATGATTAGTAAGTTTATGGACGATACAAAATTAGGAGGTATCGTTGATAGCGAAGAAAGTTATCAAAAATTATAGAAGGATCTTCATCAGATGGGGAAGTGGGCTGAGGATTGGCAAATGCAATTCAATACAGATAAGCATGAGGCTTTTTTTTCTGAAGGGTCTAGACCCGAAACGTCAGCTTCCCTGCTCCCCTGCTGCTTCGCCTGCTGTGTTCATCCAGCTCTACACCTTGTTATCTCAGATTCTCCAGCATCGGCAGTTCCTACTATCTAAGTATGAGGTGTTGCACTTTGGAAATTCAAACCAAGGGAGGAGTTATGTAGTAAATGGTAAGGTCCTGAGGAGTGTTGTGGAACAGGAGGGACTTAGGAGTACAAGTACATAGTTTGTTGAAAGCAGTGTCACAGGTAGACAGGGTGGTGAAGAAGATGCTTAAAATGCTGGCCTTCATCAGTAGAGGCATTGAGTATAGGAGGTGAGAAGTTATGTTACAGTTGTACAAGTCATCGGTGAGGCCACAGTTGGAGTATTGTGTACAGTTTTGGTCATCCTGTTATAGGAAAGACATAGTTAAACTGGAAAGTGTGCCAAGAAGATTTACAAGGATGTTGCCAGAACTAGTAGGCCTGAGTTATAGGGAGAGGTTGGCCAGGATAGGACTTTATTCCTTGGGATGTACGAGAATGAGGGGTGACCTTATTGAGATGTATAAAATCATGAGGGGTAGAGATAAGATAAATTCATAGGGATGGGGAATTATAAATTAGAGGGCATAGGTTTAAGGTATGATTGGAAAGATTTAAGAAGGATCTGAGGGGCAACTTCTTCACGCAGAGAGGGGTGCGTATGTGGAATGGGCTGCCAGAGAAAGTGGTTGAGGCAGGTACAACAGCAACATTTAAAAACCATTTGAATAGGTACATGGATAGGAAGTGCTTAGAGGGATATGGACCAAATGTGGGCAATTGGAACTAGCTGAGTGGTCAGCATGAACCAGTTTGGGCCGAAGGGCCTGTTTCCATGTTGCATTACTGTATGACTTTATGAGTTACATCAGAAGATATAGGGTGGATAGACCTTGGTCAAAACGGTAGGTTCTAAGGAGCATCTGAAACAGCATGAGAACTAGAAAGCTTTGAGGAAGGAATTCCAGAACTTACAGCCCAGAGCAGCTGAACCTATGGCTACCAAGGGTGAGTCAAATCAACCAATTTTGCCAATAGCTCCTCAGAACAGATATTTGTTCAGTACATTCTGCATGCACAACCAACAATCATTGTAGATAAAAACAGCAGAACAGGAGTCCAATGTGTAAGTTACAACAAAGTCAGTTACTTACTTTGAACGGTTTCATAGAATTCTGTATTGCTGGCACCAGCCACTAGTGAAGTAGAAAGGAAAGCTTTGAGCCTCTCAACTTAGAGTTTCTTAACATAAAACATTCAACGTAAAACACAGCACCTGGTTCAGGACATCGCACATGAGCGAATTACATTCCTGATGTCCTACGCAGATCTGCGTTAACAATACAATCAGGATTACAACATGATCGAGGTTGACCTAATGCTTCTCAGACCGCTTCAAGCATTACAGACGTTTGGGGGGAAGAAAGGCAAAGAAGCAGTTAACGCAAGTGGGTGGGGATAGGAAGCGGGTTCTGGCTGTGAGAAGACATTAGTTGTCATTCTTGCTATCCGTGTGTGATCTTGTCTCACAACTACTTGTGGAGGCAGCAGTGCATTTTTACACAGCTAGCTTCCACAATTCCTCTCCTGACAACGACAAAAGTGGCAGAACCAAATTGTGCCCATTTATTTTGATCGAGCAGCTGTGAACAGGATATGTAGCTGGTTCATAACCTGCACCTTCAGTAATTGATTGTTGGTGAAACACTTTGGGACCCACTGAGGTTGTGAGAGATGATGTAAAAAAATGCTCATTTGCTTTTCTGCAGTGCTCACGGTAAATATAAAATCAGGAGCTAAGCTCAAATCCTCAGAAATTATTCAGACCACAAATTGATATAGTTTGCCAAAGTCATTTGTTGAGGATTGGTGCTACAGTATAGTTAAGATCAACTTCTAGGCATTGTCCAATCCAAAGGATGTGACTAAAAACTAAATCAGAGCAGCTGAAGCAGATAGCATTAATATTTAATTGAGGGGATTAAAAACAGGAGGGTGGCTGGTGTCAGGGGGGACTTGTGATAGCTACAAACAGCAGTGCAGACCAGTTGGGCTGAATGGTCCATTCTGTGCTGAAGATTCTATATTAATCCACATAATTCAATAACCAGTGATTTTCTGAGAATCTGATTCATTGTTGGTTAAGTATAGAGGAAGCTTTATTCTGCGGACGGCTTTGCTGTGTCTCGGAATGCTTGATGCTGGATTCGAAAAATTCTAGTTTCCCTCATGGTGACAAACAAATATTTACCAAACCAAATAAGCTCTCTACAATAAACTGTCAAAACTACGAAGAACAAATTGATTAAGCAGCAAAATATTTTCGACATCATTTGGCTATCATGGTGACGAGGGGCAGTTCAGCTCCCACCCCTAAACCAGCTCAGAACACAACTAATGACCAGGTCACCACTTAAAGAACCGAAGGGACTGAATACTGTAAATCAGGAACGAAAACAGAAGTTGCTGGAAAAGCTCAGCAGGTCTGGCAGCATCTCTGAAGAATAATGACAGTTAACGAAACGTTAACTCTGATTATTCTTCAGAGATGCTGCCAGGTCTGCTGAGCTTTTCCAGCAACTTCTGTTTTTATTCCTGTTTTTAAACTCCTTAAAAAAAGTGGGTTACTCCAAATTCAGAACTGACTCACCTGCTGAACTAACCCCACTTGTAACTGGATGAGAAAAAGCTGCAAAAGGAAACAAATATTGTATCAGGTATTTACAAGAAATGGGAAAGCATTGAGTAATAAAGATGCTCCATGCGAGATATCAGTACAGGAGGAGGTCATTCAGTCCCTCACGCCTGTCCCACTGTCTATTACATTATGGCTTCAAACCCCTTGACATCCTTACCCAGTAGTAAATTTAACTGATTCCAGACTAAAATTTCAACTGGCCGCCAACATTGAGCATTTTGAAATTTCAGAATCCTATGACTGTGTGTGGAGAGATGCTTCCTGACTTCACTCCCATTCTAATTCTAATTGTAATTGTAAGACTGCACTCTTTATACTGGAACTCCTTCACAGATCAAGTTGTTTCTCTGCATTTACTCTTTCCAGTTTGTTGATTTACGATAATCCTTGAAAGCTCTAAATGCAGGAGAAAGTGCCAGCAACGACCCAGTGGGCAGCACTTTCGCCAGAGTCATGAGGCTTCGGGTTCAACACCAATTCCGTGGTTCAGTGCCAACACTGTTAGAAGTGACATCTTTTGTAGGAGACTTTAAACCAATAGTTGGATGACTGCAGAAGATCTCATGACACAATTTGGAAGAGCAGGGGAGTTTCCCCAAGACCTGGGGGTGCACGGTGGCTCAGTGGTTAGCACTGCTGCCACACAACACCAGGGAACCAGGTTCAATTCCTGCCTCGGGCGACTGTCTGTGCGGAGTTTGCACATTCTCCCCATGTCTGCGTGGGTTTCCTCCGGTTTCCTCCCGCAGTCCAAAGATGTGCAGGTTAGGTGGATTGGCCATGCTAAATTGCCCAGAGTGAATTACAGGGAAAAGGGGTCGGGAGATGGATCTGGGTGGGATGCTCTTTGGGGTGGCAGTGTGGACTTGTTGGGCCGAAGGGCCTGTTTCTACACTGTAGGGATTCTATGATTGATTCTACGAATATCTCTCGGTCAGCGCCATAAAAACCGATTAGTTGCTCATTACCAAGTTGTTGTTTGAGAGCGCTTGCTGGGCACAATCTGTTTGTTGTAGTGTAGGAACTACATCAATGACTACACTCTAAATGTACTTCATTGGTTTTGAACTTTCTGATGGTTGAGAGACATGCTATAAAAAAAAATAGATGTGCATTTGTAAGTCTGCATCAATTTTATGCATCAATTTAACCCGTTAAGTTCTGGTAACTGGCAACTCTCATATACTTAATTACTGACCATTTGATCCTTAGCAACTGTAGGAACAAATTACTGCAGATGCTGGAATCTGTACTGAAAACAACAAATGCTGGAGATGTGGGTCAGACAACATCTGCAGAGAGAGACAGCAAGCTAACATTTAGCCTAGATGAGTCTTCATCAGAGATGAATTGAAGTTTGGAGAGAGCAACATTTATACTATTGTTTTGGGGTGTGGGGGTTTGCGGGTTTGCTGGTCTGCAGTCTGATTATCTAGTTTCTGAGATGATAGCACAGTTGTACCAAAAGAAATGTCTTCAACTGCTGCAAAACACTAAATAATGGGGGAAATGTTCCACTGTGGCAATGCAGAAGCCTCTGTTTGAGATGAATGATTCCATCCTCAATTTGGCATTAAACCTGTAAAAATAAGGTCATGTAATCTGCCACATCATTAGCTCAAAAATAGATACAGAATTGTGAAAATAGCCAGGGTTTTCAATTGGCTGGAGATGTAGACACATGGAAAGTAAATGACAGCTGTTTGTGGTTTCCTCCACCCCAACCCTCTCACAGTCAACATGTAGATTATCACATTCAGAACGCCCCAACACTGAGGGTGACTTGTATTCTTACCGAAGCAAGAGCTCCTACTTTTAAAAGAAATGGGAACATTTAAATTAGATTCACTCATATTTACAAATGGCAATCAGTCTCCTTATTTATGTAGCTCCATCTTAGCAGTTTCCATTTTTTTCAGGTTGAGATGCTGGGCATATCTACATTCTCCTTCTCTCCCCTGCAACCTCCACACAGGATATATTCTGGAGCCCACAAGGATCTATTTTAAGAGGTTCTGGGATGGAACGGAGTCTAAAATTGCTCACCATTTCAAACATTCTCCTCAGTAAGAACCGCTTTCGAATCCGGGGCGACCGGGGAAAATTTAGCTCATAGCACAGAGTGGGAGCAAATAGGAAATAATACATGTCTAGAAAACAAATGGAAACAAAAAAAACAAAAACATCAAATAAGGGGAGGCAGTTAAAGTAAAAGAAACAAAGAATCAGAATGGCAGGGAAGGAAACATGCCGTATGCCTGAGTTTGGACCTACATGGTTCCCAGCCTCACCTCATAGGCGACATGCAACTTACCTCTGAAATGGCGCACACAATCTGTACCACCAGACTCCTCGGAGCAGCACGCTTAATATATAGTTAAAGACTCAGCAAAAACTTCAAAGATAATTAAAAAACGGGCAATAAATCCTAGAATAACTGTTGTGCGGTATAGAACATTGCTGCACAAAGACATATTGTTGGAAGTTGTTCATTTTGCACTCATTGGTATGATTCACAAGAATACTAAAGTAAGGTGAGAAACCAGCATTGCTCCCATGAGGACAGCCCTGATTGGTTGGCAAGTAGGATCTGATTGGCAAAGCTTTTACTACGGAGAACATACCAGTTAATGATGATCAACAGTTAACCGCCAGCATGTTTAAATTTTAAATGAGGTCGTTGATTCTGATTAGTCAAGGCATTGCCCTGAGAAATGAATCAGCAAATGGGTGTCACCTATTTTCTTGAGTGAAACACGTGCGGAGTGGACTTGTTATGTTGGCAAAGAACAGGATTCTCATATTACTATGTAGCTTCCAGTACAGCAAACAATTTCACCAATCAGAAACAAGCTGGCAATTAATCAGCATTCACCTCTCAGTACAAATGCTGGCTGCCCTGCCCTCCCCTGCCGTGCTCCCACACATTGATTTTCTTGCAAATTTCGTCTTTCAACAATATCACAATCTTATAACAGTGGAGGCAATTTGGTGCGTTGTACCTGTTCCAGCTCTTTGAAGCAGTAATTCAATATGCACCACTGATCTTTTCCACTGCTTACAATTTTGTTCTCTTTTGGAGGTGTATTTCCAATTTCTGTCTCTAAATTATTACTGAACCTGTTGTTTCTATCCCTCATTCAACTTGTGCATTCCAGATTATACTAACTCATTGTGTAAATCAGTTTGCCCCAATTCACCCACCTCCCCTATTATCAATTCATCCCTCAGTTGAAGGAGTTTTTCCTCAACATCCTGTAGTAAAACCAGGGACCTCTTGAGGGTACTATATAAAAGTATTATAAAAGCATAATGTTTTCCTTCTTGCTTTCAAAAAAAGAACACAGGGATAACTAAGTATAATGTAAATTATCTCATAGGGTTAATCTCACCTTTCCCTGTTAAATTATATTCTTAAAAAAATCCTCAAAACACCTCAACAAAAGACTGTTCTAACTTCATCCTTTATCTCATCAGTCGCCTCAACAAAAGACTTTTTCCAGTCTCTTCATAAATTACAAAGACTTGCAGATTATAACCACCAGGGGGCACAGTAAGCTTACTTACTGCATCCCACACAAAGCTGACATTGTAACATGTCCAACATATTTCTTGCTCCATTCCAATCCCGGAATTCACAAGTCATTTCTGCCTGCTAGGAAAGATATGTCATAAGAAAAACGTTAGGCAACCCAAACCCTAGTCTGAGGGAATGTTACCAAACTAGATTTGTTTTTCCCTGTTGAGAAAACTAGGAGGTGATCTCACTGAAGTTCATGCTAACAGAAGCACAAATTTATTCCGGCAATTTAAATTTCTTCACTCTGACAAAGGATTCAAATGAAGGGGAATAGCTGATTGATTTAGCATTACTTCTTAATATGTAATTTAATACAAAAGGTTATTAATGCTCGAAACAGAAATGAGGGCTGGCAGATAGATTATGTTTCCAGAGATTCGTGAGGATAACTTTTAAAAAGTCTTTATTCTTGGGATGCAGGAATTCCTGCTAAGGCTGACATTTACTGACCACTCCCAACTATGAGGAAACATGCAGTTTGGTAATACAGCTTGCTTACTTCAGAGGTTAAGAGTCAGCTACCTAATATCGGGTGGGTGTCACACATCAACAAGAAAAGGAAGGAGAGATTTTACAATGATCCATTAATTTGGTCATCACTTTTACTTGGATTCAAAGCTGAATTCAAATTCAAAAAACTCAAGACTGCATCTGAACTTGCGCTATTTTGGATGAGTAGTCCAGTAACATAACCATCACACAACCGTATCCAAATGCTAATCTATAGCAAATGGATTGACTTTTTGGCTTAGTGGGCTTTAGCATTTCATTAAGAGCAATCAGCTTTGGTAGACGTTTAGAGCCATATTTGTAGCATAGCACTGGAGGGAACCATGTACTCCACCATGCCAGTGCTGGCTGTTAATTGTAAATATTTCCTAAGCAACCTGTTCAGAGGGGTTATGGTACATCTCTGAAGTAGGTGGGAGTTGAATCCAGACTTTATTCTTTTATTCATTCACGGGATGAGGGCATCGCTGGCTAGGCAGCGTTTATTGCCCATCCCTAATTGCCCAGAGGGCATTTCAGAGTCAACCATATTGCTGTGGGTCTGGAGTCACATGTAGGCCAGACTAGGTAAGGATGGCAGTTTCCTTCCCTAAAAGGCATTAGTGAACCAGATGCGTTTTTCCGACAATTGACAATGGATTCACCGTCTTATTTATTGAATTCAAATTCCATCATCTGCTGTGGCAGGATTGAAACCCAGGTCCAGAACGTTATTAGAGTCTCTAGATTAAACAGTCCAGCAAAAATACCACTAGGCTATCACCTTCCAATGCATCACAAAGCCCCTCCAGCTATTAATTGTTGATAGAACATTTCTAATCAATCTGTTCAGATTTGTTATAATGCCCCTCTGGAGCCCGGTGAGCTTGAACCCAGGCCCTACCTTTGAGCCAGAAGATCTGGGTTCAAGTCCTACCTGTCTTGGAGATGTCATAATAGGTCTGAACAAGTTAATTAAAAAGTTAAATGAAAACTGTGCTAGTTCTGTTTGGTGCCCATGCTTGTGGTGTGTGTCGCTGTGAAGTGTGCAGAGATTTGGGTCTAGTTTGATCCCTCATCCCCTGGCTCTCAGAATTAAAACACCAACTCTCTGCTGGAATAATCAGAACCAAATTCCACTGCACTATAATTTCATTTTATTTAAAATATATACTTTTTCTCCCTTAAAAGATGCAAAAGCCTCGGCTTCAACCATCTCAAGGTGACGGTGTTCCATCATTCCTCTGCCCAAGAGAATTTCAACTCCCTGTCTCTCTAACTACTGATAATTGCAGTTGATTGTGAGCATTGATACGTTTGTCTAATAAAACCAAGTCAAATGTGAACATAAATCGAGTCAAGTAAAGATTAACTCAAATCTTATTTCAATGCAGGACAGCTGCAGGGCCTTAATGCATTATTCCTGCTCCAATATTTATAGAATCCATAGAATAGAATCCCAACAGTATGGAAACAGGTCATTCAGCCCAACAACTCCACACTGATCCTCCAAAAAGCATCCCACCCAGACCCATTCCCCTCCTCTATCCCTGCATCTCCCCTGGCTAACTCTCACATCCCTGAACACTATGGGTAATTTAGCATGGCCAATCCACCTAACTTGCACATCTTTGGACTGTGGGAGGAAACCGGAGCACCCGGCAGAAACAGGGAGAATGTGCAAACTCCACACAGACAGTCACCGGAGTGTGGAATCAAACCTGGGTCCCTGGCACTGTGAGGCAGCAGTGCTAACCACTGAGCCTCCACATATTCTGCATTGCTTCTGAACATCAACCATCATATAGGACAAAACAAAGTAGTAGTTACTGAATTGTTAAGTTGAAGCCTCACACTAATAAGGCTTACTCTTGAGCCACACTTTTTTGTAAATCCATATTTCATGGAGCTGAAAGTGGCTTTCTTGAACTCAGTTAAACTTACCCCCCGGCCTCGCTCTCCTGAAGGCAATTGGCCATCAGCTGGTCAAGACAGTTCCCATTCTTTATTTGGAGCATCACAGCAAACTCAAACCCAACTACAACAAAACACTTGCTAGTAAGAAGTTACACAGTGATGAGGAATTTAGCAGTGCCAATAGTTATCCTGAATGCACACTCAAGCTAACAAATGTTCAAGTCAAACTTGTCTTTGATAGAAAACAGATAAGCTTTGGATTGGAGAGAAATTTTTCTTTGCTTCAGTGGGGATTCAAAGAAAGGAGCAGCAAGGACAAATGTTTAAAGAAATGATCAAGGCAATCCAGTGACAATATGAGAATACAACAGAAGCTTTATGATTCACTATGAAATGTTCTGCGAGCAATTGATAATCAAAGACATTGTGAAATGTCAAAATTAAATTATAGCAAGTCATGGTGACAAGGAGTTAAACTGTGCAATTTATTCGGATGAAAACACTTGAATTATACCAGGACATTTAACCATGGTGACTTATGGAATTGTACAGTACAGGAGGATATTCAGCCTATTGTGTGCTGGCTCTCTGAAAACCTATCCAATTAGTTTCACTCGCCTGCTTTTTACACATTTTGCAAATTTCGCATCTTTTGCTTTCTCCCATAATCAGCATTTGCCCCCAAGACAAACAGCAGGCTGGGGCAAGACGTTTACTAGAGAACGCACACTGATTCCCAACTCTACACAAAACATCTGCAATGCTACCAAAGTACAACATACTGAAGACAAATTATTGACTGAACCACAGTGGCAGCAGAAGTTCTCATCTACAGACATGCCACAGAAAGTGCCCCTGCTTTAGTCCAGGTATTTGTTCAGCCTTTTCTCTCCTTCCCTTGCTCACCTGTTAAATTACACCCTATGACAAAGTCAATCTCAGATTGTCAAAACGTCAACAACCAGGACTTTAGAATCAGAGTTGTACAGCACAGAAACAGACTCTTCGGTCCAACTCATCAATGCCGACCAGATATCCTAAATGAATCTAGTCCCATATCCCTGTAAACCCTTCCTACTCATTTACACGTCCAGATGTCTTTTAAATGTTGTAATTGTACCAGCCTCCACCACTTCGTCAGGCAGCTCATTCCATACACACACTATTCTCTGGATAGAAAAGTTGCCCCTTGGGTCTCTTAAATCTTTCTCCCTCACCTTAAACCTATGCTGTCTAGTTTTGGACTCCCCTACCCTGGGGAAAAGGCCTTGACTATACACCCTATCCCTGCCTCTCATGATTTTATAAACCTCTATAAGGTCACCCCTCAGTCTATGATGCTCCAGAGAAAATAGCCCCCAGTCTATTCAGTACCTCCCTGTAGCTCAAACCCTCCAACCTTGACAACATCCTTGTAAATCTTTTCTGAATCCTTTCAAGTTTGATAACATCTTTCCTATAGCAAGGAGACCAGAATTGAACACAGTATTCCAAAAGACTAAAGTCATAAAACTCTTCTCACCTTTGTACGTCAGGTTCCCTGGATACACGACTACCGATTGCACTGCTTCACCATTCTCTTTCAAACCCGGAGCTACAAAACAAATCAAAGTTATTCCAGCACTGCTACAGCTCAAATCTAAATATTGTTATAGTTAGTGCAAACTGTTTACATTAAACTGATGAACACACTCTGAAGAATCTCACTGCAGTTCACATACTATAAATCCTTAGCTTCTGTAGGTGGCACCCTCCGACGTGATGAAATTAGAGGCATTAGACTCGTTTTTTTTGAGGACATGGTTTAAGGAAAGCAGCAATGACACTGCTTACAACGTTCTTCAGCAAAAATAAGTAGGCTTTCTTTAAAATGTTTCTGATTTGGCACAGAGTGAGGATGAAGTTCTTGCATAATTGAACCTGAATTTAAATGAACTAATATGATGCAAGTCTTCCTTTTTTGTTGGATGTGAGGAATGTGAATTTGTAAGAAATTACTTTGGCATTGTCAATCTTAACACCTTGTGAATATGGACCTAGTGGACAACTGGGACCAGGAAATTGCAAATATCACGCTGTGTCACAGGAGGTCTTCGTCATGGGGAGTGAGCACATTGTTATAAAACTCCCTGGACTTGGGAGAACAGGCCAGAAGGCAGAGTTTCAGAATAAGGGGAGGGCCATGGAGGCTCATTTGTCAAGTATGTTCGAGACAGTGATCAACTGATTTCTACACAGGATAAGAACATCAATTTCAAAAACATGAATGGTCTACTCTCTCCTATTTTCTACATCTTTAAATTAGAACGTCAAACTCTCCCCAGCTCACACTGATTCTTGAGTATAGTACAGGGAATCCTGAATTGTTTTAAAAAAGTGCTTCATGGTTTCAGGTGGACATACATTGTACCAGAAGAATTCTATTCATGAACTGAACAAAACCTGCCCCAAGAAAATCAAAACATCTGACCATTTATCGTACTGTGTTTCTTGTGCACAATTTGGCTGCTGGATTTGTTGTTTTAAACAAGTGACAGCACGTTGAAAGTGCATTTTATTTGATGGTTCAAGGATGTGAAAAATGCTGAACTGTATAAAGTCTAGTTCAATCGATTGTCATGTTATTGTTGGGTGGGTATTGTCTCTGTTGTAGCCACCAAGGAAGCCTTTGATGCTAACAGTACACGATCTAACCAGTTCAGTGCTTCGATGCCCAATACTGTCAGCCTTCAGTGTGAACACTGAAGAGAGGGAAAAAAGCACCGTAAAAGAACCATGGAAAGTTTACAGCATCTGTCTAAACCACTTTCCAGCATTTAATCCACTGGCTCTGCAGGATTTGGCTCGAGGTGCTTATCCAGACACCTCTTAAGTTGAGGATTTCTGCCTCTATCCTCTCATTTCCCCTCTAATCTTTTTACTAATTACTATAAACTTGTGCCCCCCCCACCACCCCCTGAAGCTTTCTAAGGTAATTTGGCGCCTCATCTATGCTATTTAGGCTGTTGTCAATTTTAATCATAGAATCCCTGCTGCGTGGAAGGAGGCCATTTGGCTCATCGAGTCCACACCAGCCCTCTGAAGAGCATTCCACCCAGACCCACCCCTTATCCTATCCCTGCATTTTCCACCCTAGACACTATGAGCAATTTAGCATAGCCAATCCATCTCACCTGCACATCTTTAGACTGTGCACCTCAATCAAATCTCCCTTGGGCCTCCTCTGTTCCAAGGTGGACAATCCCAGCCTATCCAATCTTTCCTCATAGCTGCATTTTTCCAGTCCTCGGAATCTCCTCATAAGTTTCCTCTGTAGCCCCTCTAGTGCAATTACATCCTTTCTATAATGAAGTGACCACAACTGCACACAGTATTCAAATTGTGCTCTAACTAATCACTTTTACCAATAATTATTCAGCCCTAATTTTCCAAATGATTATTTTTAATACAGGTCCCAATGTTACATACTAATTTCCAACAAAGTACTGCAGGTGGGGAACCAATGTCAGACCTACTGGTCTTGGACTGGGCTTTTTCCATGGACATGTAGTGGACTCTCCTCCCTAATTGGAAGGCCCCAAAAGCTAGAAGGGGACAGGGGACAGGGGACAGGGGACAGGGGACAGAACAGACCTTCCGGCCCATGATGTTGTGCCGACCTATTATCCTACTAAGAACAAACAACCCTGCATACCCTACATTTTACTATCGTCCATGTGCCCATCCAAGAGTCGCTTAAAAGTGTCTAAAGTATCTGACAAGCCCTTGCATCTGCATGCCTTTCCAATTTCTCCAACCCTATAATTCCTTCAATGAGACTGTTACTAAGTACCATCCTATCATTTTATTGTGCACATGATCACAATATCAATAGTTCACATTAACCACAGTTTAAATATTTACAGGTAACCCAATCAAAATGTCACTTAGTAGCACTGCCCTACACCATCTCTAAAAACAACTTAAGCTGCTGGGTACATCGTTACACATATCAACACCACTGGGACATGTTGTCAAGCCCAACTTAAGCCCAGAGAATACCGACAAAATTACAGCAATAAGAATAAAGTGTCTTTCCCTGAAACAGTAACATGGTCTCTTTTCAGTTGTGTTTTTCAGTATTAGCAGTTAAATGTTACTGCATAGAAACAGGTCTTTCAGTCAGTCAAGTTTGTAATTTGTCTGGAATTACCAGCCTTGCTCATTTTCTCTTTATACCCTTTCACTATTCTCACTCTTCAAATAACCATCTGATTTATTCTGACCTTAATTTATTGGACTGACTTCAAAAACAGTTTGCACTCTGACCACGTTCTGTGCGAAGTCTTCAAGTTAATGATTTCAGATTATTGATATGGAAAGACACACAGCACATGCAGCAGCTGAGTGAAAACAATCAATCAATACCGATCCAACCAGAAAGATACAGGCTATGTTAGGTTTGCTTGTTTCATATCTTCACAAGGTCAGAAGTCACACAACACCAGGTTATAGTCCAGCAGGTTTATTTGAAAACTCAAGCTTTTGTCAGATTATGTTGTATCTGTATTTACCGAGGAGAAGGACATGACTGACATTGAGGTCAGGGATGAGTGCGTGAATACTTTAGAGAATGTCAACATATTAAAGGAGGAAGTTTTGGTGTCCTAAAGTGCATTAAGATAGACAAGTCCCCAGGGCCAGATGGGATCGATCCAAGGTTTCTGCGAGAGGGAAGCAGTGCTCCAAAAGGGGTTTGTGATTTCAAATAAACCTGCTGGACTGTAACCTGGTGTCGTGTGACTTCTGACCTTGTCCACCCCAGTCCAACACCAGCACTGCCACACCTTATCTTTACAGACACAGACACACGATGCACTGGGAAAAAAAAAAAAAATCACTCAGTTAGTCTGCAGGTAGATTAAGTGATTAAGGTGGCTAATGGAATGTTGCTGTTTATTGCAAGAGGAATTGAATATAAAAGTTGACATTTTGCCAGAGCTGTACAGACCACACCTGCAGTACAGCAACAGAAGCAAAATACTGCAGATGCTGGAAGTCTGAAATAAAATTAATGTGCACTGGAACCACAGGAAGTGGGGGAGATCCTTAATAATTACGTTGTATCTGTATTTACCGAGGAGAAGGACATGACTGACATTGAGGTCAGGGATGAGTGTGTGAATACTTTAGAGAATGTCAACATATTAAAGGAGGAAGTTTTGGTGTCCTAAAGTGCATTAAGATAGACAAGTCCCCAGGGCCAGATGGGATCGATCCAAGGTTTCTGCGAGAGGCAAGGGAAGAAATAGCTGGGACATTAGCAGATATCTTCACATCCTCTTTGACCACAGGCAAGGATTCAGAGGACTGGAGATTAGCCAATGTTGTTTCCTTGTTTAAGGAAGGAAGCAGGGATAATCCAGGAAATTATAGGCTGGTGAGTCTGACATCTCTGGTGGGGAAGCTCTTGAAGAAGATACTGAGGGACAGGACATATGCACATTTGGAAAAAATATGGACTAGTTAATGACAGGCAGCATTGTTTTGCACGGATAAGGTCACGTCTCACCAACCTGATCGAATTTTTTGAAGATGTGACAAAGATAATTGATGAGGGAAGGGGTGTGGATGTAGTTTATATGGACTTTAGAAGGGCATTTGATAAAATCCCACATAGCAGCTTGGTACAAAAACTAAAATCACATGGGATTCGGGTTGGGCTGGCTAGATGGATAGAAAACTGGCTTGGTCACAGTAGACAGAGGGCAGCAGTGGAAGGGTGTTTTTCAGAATGGAGACTGGTAACCAGTGGTATTCTACAGCGATCAGTTTTGGATCCTCTGGTGTTTGTAGTATATATAAATGATCTGCAGGAAAATCTGGGTGGTCTGATTAGTAAGTTTGCCGATGACACGAAGATTGATAGATTTCTTGATAGTGCCAACGAATGTGAAAGTATACAACAGGATATAGATAGATTGGCAAATTGGCCACAGAAATGCCAGATAGAGTTTAATCCACCAGACAAATGCGAGATGATGCATTTTGGAGGATCAAATTTAAGTGTGAATTATACTGTTAAATCCTTCAGAATATTAACATACAGACAGATCTGGGCATGCCGGTCCATAGTTCCCTAAAAGTGGCAAAACAGATAGCCAAGGTGATTAAAGGCGGCTGAAGGCAAGCTTGCCTTCATCGGCCAGGGCATGGAGTAGAAGAGTTGGCAAAACATACTGCAGCTATATAAAACCCTGGTCAAGCATTTGGAGTATTGTGTGCAGTTTTCGTTGTGGAAGCTTTGGAGACAGTGCACGGAAGGTTCACCAGGGATGTTGCCCAGTCTCGAGGGCATTGGCTATGAGGAAAGGTTAAAAAGGCTAGGATTGTTTTCACTGAAAAGACGGCGGCTGAGAGGAGACCTGATAGAGGTCTACAACATTATGAGAGATGTAGATAGGGTGGATAGTCAGAGGCTTTTCCCCCCAGAGTTGAATTTCTATTCCAAGGGGGCACAGGTTCAAGGTGAAAGGGGGAAAGTTTAAGGCAGATGTGTGAGGAAAGTTTTTCATGCAGAGTGGTAGAAGCCTGGAATGGACTGCCAGAGAGGGTGGTGGAAGTAGGCACATTAGCGACATTTAAGAAGCATCTGGACGGTTACATGAAAAGGGAGGGAATAGAGCGATGTGGACCGAATAAGGGCAGAAGGTTTGTTTTTCAGTTTAGTCAGGGCATGATGATCGGCACAGGCTTGGAGGGCCAAAGGGCCTGATTCTGTGCTGTACTTCTCTTTTGTCCTTTTGTTTAAGAGGTACCTTGACAAATACATGAATAGGAAGGGAATGGGGGATATGGACCGCATAGAGGCAAAATGCTTTTTTTCAGAAAGGCATCATGGGTCGGTGCAGGTTTGGTGGGCCGAACGGCCTGTTCCTGTGTTGTACTGTTCTTTGTATCCATTGAAGTTCAAAAGAATAAGAGGCAGTCTTATTGAAATACCCAAGAACCTGAAGGGAATTAAGGGGAGGGGTTGGGGGGTGGGAGGTGCTGAGAAATAGTTTCCCTTGTGGGAGAGACTAAAACTAGGCAATAGCTTAAAAATATTAGGTATAAAATTTGGAACTGATGAGAAGGAAGTTCTTTCCTTCTCAAAACGGAGTCTTGGGAATTCTCTCTCCCAAACAGTGGCGGACGTGGGCTCATTGGATATTTTAAGGCAGAAGTAGATAGGTTCTTGACTAACAAAAGGAGTCAGTGATCATCAGGGGTAGACAAATATGTAGAGTTGAGGCCACAATCAGATCAACCATGATCTACTGAATGGCATAACACACAAGGGGGAGGGGGCTGGATGGCCGACTCCTGCTCTTAGTTCACATCTTTGTAACTAGCTCTGCTTCTCTCACCACAGTTATAGCCTTGGCCGAGCTGTTCCAGCACTTTTTTCCCCTCTTTTGGTCATTATATGTTTGGAGTTGTGAAAGGTATTATAATCCCAAATCTTAGATGCTCACCTGACAAAGATCTCACTAAAGTCTTCACTTTTGCTCGGCGCAGTTCTCGACACCACTTGTTTACATCTTTGTACGAGTAGAGTTTCAGAAACTGAATGGTGTAGCACATCAGTGCCAACACAGCGCCCACTATAGAACGAGAAACAAAGTCACTTAGAACAACACATTTTAGAAACTAGGCAGAGAACAGGGTCTTTCAGATCTAGCAATGTGGGAGGAGACCAGACGAAAAAAATACAAAGAAGGAACAAAAGTGGGCCACTCGGCCCTTCGAGCCTGCTCTGCCTTTGAAGATAGTAGCTGATCTAATTTTAATCTCAACTCTACATTCCTCCATATCCCTGATAATCTTTCATCCCCTTGATAATCAAGAATAATATCTAACTCTGCCTTAAAACTATTTAAAGATTTTGCATCCACTGAATTTTGAGGAAGGGAATTGTAAAGACACTTAGACCTAAGAGAAAAAAAAATTCTCTCCAAGTTTGGAATAGGCACCCCTTTGTTTTTAAACAATGAGCTCCCAGCTCTAGATTCTTCCACAAGAGGAAACATCATTTCCATGTCCACAAGATAAAGTCCCCTCAGGATCTTATGTTTCAATTGAATCACCTCTGGTTCTTCTGAACTCGAGGATACAGGCCTAGCCTGTCTAATCCTTCCTTATAAGGCAACCTGCTCATTCCAGGTATTAGTCTAGTAAACTGTCTCTGAACTGTTTCCAATGCCCTAACTTCCTTCTGTAAATCTGGTGACCTGTACTGTACACAGCATTCCAGTTGCGGTATCACCATTGCCCTGTAAAGTGCAGCATAACCTCCCTACTTTTATAAGAGATAACAAGGTGCAGAGCTGGATGAACACAGCAGGCCAAGCAGCA